TGTCTTTATAAAATTGTATTGTGTCCTTTTTCTTCTAACTTTTGAATTTTGATTTGTTTCTTTTCGCTACCTAATTATTAAATAATCCATTAAATTCTAGAAAATTAATACCCTATGTAGTGTAATTAACAAACAAAATTCTTAATAGTGACTCGAACAATTAACATGCAGACAATAACGTAAATAGATCAACTGTAATTCAATTTGACTAGTGTAATTGTATTGTAATATATGTATTGTAAGTAGTGCAAGTTAATGTAGTGTAAGCATCGTGTAAGAAGTAAGTATAGTGTAAGTACATATGTAAGTAAAATATATAGAAAAAAATAATAATAAATTAAAAAAAAAATAGCAGAGAAATTGGGTAAACGTGTCAACAAAAGTGAAAATTTTAACCCCAGAACCACGATGACTACGATTTCTTGATCACGTATGAAAACGAAACCTCGTCAACGACACGATTAATTATTCTGGTTTTTTAAACGCTTTGGAACATCAACCACCTCCTCGCGAAACTTGACTCGGTAATCGTCGACGGTAAATAAATTTTTGTCTTCAAATGTTCGAACTACGTATCTACAAGGTGGTTAGTAGTATCATTTCTAACTGGTTATCTGTCATTCGGTTTTATTAGATGTACCTTTTCCGTCATCATTTAGTCTGTCATCGTGCAGGTTGTTTATTGAAACTCACGCATTTTGATAAGGGAAAGCCTTGAACGACGTTTCATCCGATGAGATTACGAAAACAAACAAATAAACCATTAAAAAAACATGACACAACCCGCGGAACTTGACTGGGCTGTCACGCAACTACAATAGCGTGACGGAGGAAACTTTGAGATTCGTATTCTTCCTCTGTGATTAAGTATACAACGTTTTACAATCGATTTACGTTTTACAATCGATTCAATTTTATTTCTAGCTATGGCAGAAAACAACCTCCCAACAACGGGAGAAGAACTGGAGGTGAAAAATGAGTTCCCAGCCACAGGTGAGAAAAAGTAACAGGGAAAGACTTCTTTCTGGCGATTTTGTACTGTTTGTTAATTAAGTATATCTAAATTCTGGTGTACAATTTTTTGGACTACTTCGACTTGAATGTTTTGAGGAATGTACTAAATACACCAGTATTAGAACGCTAGTTGTAATTGTACATAGTTGTGATCACTAACAAAGTTGAAAAATATCTTCTTAGTAATTTCAGCAACAGAGGAAAGTCAAGTTACGTCAAATGACGCTGAACTAGATGTATACAATGACCCTTTAAGAGGTAAGAAAACCAGGTGAAGTAAGACTGTTTGAAAGACGCCTCAATAAAGTTTTTCATTTGTCACGTTTACATCAAAATTTGCGTACGTTCTGTGAATAAATTTTTGAAACAGCAAAATATTTTTCCTCCCAATTTAAACTATGTTACTAGTAAAATAAAAAAAAGGAAAAAAACAATTTATTGCTCGATCCGATTGAGCAGAATGCATAGACCGCATTAATTATTCATATGTAATAGAGCGGCAAATTTGAACGCGACTTAGCTTTGAAGAGCCCTAAATTAAAGAAGAATGAGCCAAAATTGGCCTACAAAGCTTCGTAAAACTCAGTTTTCTGAGTGTTAGAAGTGCTTATCTGTAAATTAACGCACAATGTTTTGGAGATTAAAGATGTATTTACAATTTCCACCTAAAATGAACGATATTTGCGCAGTAAAATTATTGTGCTTGTAAATTTGGTCATTTTTAGTATGAAAGTCAGTTTCGGTAAGAGAGAGCTGTCGGTACAAGATCAAGTATTTAAAAATTTCCAAACGGGTAACTTTTTGAGGCCGCCAAAAAGAAAAGTATATACGCTTACACCAGTTTGTCCGTTATTGTTCAATACATGTTTGGCAGAAATTTTACGCGATTTGAGAATTCTACAGAGAAAAGGAGGCATTTTGTCTTGGCCGTATCGCCTATTTTGGTCTTCTAAATATTTCACGCCTTCTTGGACAGTTATGTCAACACCAGATATAAAAGTTTCTTGCCTTTTCTTTAGTTATTAGATTTAAGCTCCTTTAACCTAACAGTTCGTTTGGAAACATAGAGTTGGCATCATCCGTCAATGGTCGTATCACTCATTACTAAATCATTAACACTAAAACGGTATGTTTTCAGGGATAGCGAAAGTATGTCTCGAGGAAGGTAACAAAGAATACAGACAAGGAGAAGCTAAAAACGCGATAATTTCCTACACGGAAGGACTTCAAGTGAATTGCAAAGATAAACGGCTTAACGCCAAGCTTTACAGCAACAGGGCAACAGCTCATTTCCGTTTGGGTAACAATTTTATTTCTAAATATATAAATCTCTCATGCAGCGTTACAAGTTAACGGAATACACAATCTGCATCAAGAAAAGAGAGAAGTTGAGCAACAGCAGAAGAAAAGCACAAATACATGAATCCCCCTTTAAGTAGATGAAAATTAAGAAAAGAAATCATTCTCGTTTTTAGACTGCAATTTAGGCAATGGTAATTTTTCAGGCTTCTTTGCAGCAATTTCATTGGATGACCACTTTTTTAAACCTCATTTCCTGAATCTCATAGCAAACTTCGTGGGATGTCTGGATGATGCAACAGTTGCTGTGCAATTGGAACCTACTTTCATCAAAGCTATTAAGAAAGGTGGGTTTTTCAGACATAAGCCATCAACAATCTATTCTCTAATTTCGTCAAAAGAGGATTTTGTTGTTTGTGGCAGGTGACCGCACCCCAAGTATCAATTGTATTTGGTGTGTCAATGTCTGTTATGTGGGTAAAAAGCATAAGAAAATGTCAAAAAGTTCTCAAATACCGCTGCCCGGTTAGTTCACGTTGTAGAGCGCCGGAGGTCGAGGGCTCAAGCCCTAGACCAAAACAACACTCATTCTAAAAATATCTGAGGAGAATGTGCTGCCACCTAGCTATGAGAACTGCAAATGGTTTGATATTCTTGTCCCGGATAAGAACGGAAAACCGTAACGCCCGTTTCCTACATCTTCTCTACATCTTCTCTTCTCTTAGCAGGGGACGTTCAAAAACCCGGCAAGAGGGCATCTGAAAAATTCCCTTCATAAGTTAAACTGATCAATGCAGTTTGCCCGAAAACTGCCCCGAAAAATGCTGATAAAAGCACATTAAAATGAAGAATGTGCGGGATAAATTCATCGTTATCATCATCAATTGAAGCTTCATTGGTAGCCGCTTTGCATTAGCTCCTTATTGTTCATTTTCAGTTCTTCTACAATTTCAAATTTCCTTCATTATCACAATTTTTGTTTCCAGCGAAATGGGAAATTAAGTCCATTTTATCAATACGTTTATACCTTAACAGTGATAAATTACCTCGCACCACCAATTGTTCTCTCCTTTTCAGGAGCCAGAGCTTGTGTCGAACTTTGCTGGTATAAAGAAGCAAGGAGCTGGTTGCAGATGGGATTGACCGTATCTTTTAGCGAATGTTTCAGACGTGATACGAGATGCAATGCGAATAATATTTCAAGAAAAATCAATACGTTCCATGCAGATTCTTCTACACATAATGCAAGCGATGTTCTCTTATACTGTACTGAGCAGTTTAATGCAGCTAAAATATTATTGAGGAGTTCTTTCGATAATTCCACGAAACTTTAATTGAAAGAAAAGGCCATATTAACTAATTCCCAGAGTTTCTGCTGAATGTCCCTCATTTTTGTCTTGAGACGAGCATCACCATGACGACCGAACCTAAACTAATAAATGCGCTTCAGAGCTAGTTAACACTCTCGAATAACTTGAAATCAAATCTCTTCAAGAAACCCACGCTCGAATCATCATTCCAATTTCAAGGTTTTATCCAATACTGTCATTATTTTTAAAACACTCATTTCCATTGCATTTTCACAAATCCACTCATAATATAGTTACCCTTAACACATTTTAAGATTGACAAAAATAACGAACGTCTGCTTCAATTTATAAGGAAATTGGATGCTGAACTCAAAGTAAAAAAAAACACTTATGCCAGTCTCGGATGTACTTACTATAATGTTGGGCAGTTCAACACAGCAATCAAATACTTTCAACAATGTCTAGAAATTGGTAAAGGAGTGGGAGACAAGGCCTTAGAGGGAATCAGTTGTGGAAATCTCGGCATCGCTTATCAAAGTCTAGGAGAATTCAAAACAGCCATCAAGTACCATCAACGTCATCTAGAAATTGCTAAAGAAGTGGGGGACAGGGCCGGAGAGGGAAGAAGTTATGGCAATCTCGGCAACGCTTATCGCGGTCTAGGAGAGTTCAAAACAGCCATCAAGTACCATCAACGTGATCTAGAAATTGCTAAAGAAGTGGGAGACAAGGCCGGAGAGGGAGGAAGTTATTGCAATCTCGGCAACGCTTATCACGATCTAGGAGAGTTCAAAACAGCCATCAAGTACCACGAACGTCATCTAGAAATTGCTTCTGAAGCGGGAAACAAGGCCAGAGAGGGAATCAGTTATGGCAATCTCGGCATCGCTTATCAAAGTCTAGGAGAGTTCAAAACAGCCATCAAGTACCATCAACGTCAACTAGAAATTGCTAAAGAAGTGGGAGACAAGGCCGGAGAGGGAAGAAGTTATGGCAATCTCGGCAACGCTTATCGCGGTCTAGGAGAGTTCAAAACAGCCATCAAGTACAATCAACGTCATCTAGAAATTGCTAAAGAAGTGGGAGACAAGGCCGGAGAGGGAAGAAGTTATGGCAATCTCGGCAACGCTTATCGCGGTCTAGGAGAGTTCAAAACAGCTATCAAGTACCATCAACGTGATCTAGAAATTGCTAAAGAAGTGGGAGACAAGGCCGGAGAGGGAGGAAGTTATTGCAATCTCGGCAACGCTTATCACGATCTAGGAGAGTTCAAAACAGCCATCAAGTACCATCAACGTCATCTAGAAATTGCTTCTGAAGTGGGAAACAAGGCCAGAGAGAGAATCAGTTATGGCAATCTCGGCATCGCTTATCAAAGTCTAGGAGAGTTCAAAACAGCCATCAAGTACCATCAACGTCAACTAGAAATTGCTAAAGAAGTGGGAGACAAGGCCGGAGAGGGAAGAAGTTATGGCAATCTCGGCAACGCTTATCGCGGTCTAAGAGAGTTCAAAACAGCCATCAAGTACCATCAACGTCATCTAGAAATTGCTAAAGATGTGGGAGACAAGGCCGGAGAGCGAGGAAGTTATGGTAGTCTCGGCAACGCTTATCAATGTCTAGGAGAGTTCAAAACAGCCATCAAGTACCATCAACGTGATCTAGAAATTGCTAAAGAAGTGGGAGACAAGGCCGGAGAGGGAGGAAGTTATTGCAATCTCGGCAACGCTTATCACGGTCTAGGAGAGTTCAAAACAGCCATCAAGTACCACGAACGTCATCTAGAAATTGCTAAAGAAGTGGGAAACAAGGCCAGGGAGGGAGGAAGTTATGGCAATCTCGGCAACGCTTATCACAGTCTAGGAGAGTTCAAAACAGCCATCAAGTACCATCAACGTCATCTAGAAATTGCTAAAGAAGTGGGAGACAAGGCCGGAGAGGGAAGAAGTTATGGCAATCTCGGCATCGCTTATCAAAGTCTAGGAGAGTTCAAAACAGCCATCAAGTACCATCAACGTCATCTAGAAATTGCTAAAGAAGTGGGAGACAAGGCCGGAGAGGGAGGAAGTTATTGCAATCTCGGCAACGCTTATCACGGTCTAGGAGAGTTCAAAACAGCCATCAAGTACCACGAACGTCATCTAGAAATTGCTTCTGAAGCGGGAAACGAGGCCAGAGAGGGAATCAGTTATGGCAATCTCGGCATCGCTTATCAAAGTCTAGGAGAGTTCAAAACAGCCATCAAGTACCATCAACGTCAACTAGAAATTGCTAAAGAAGTGGGAGACAAGGCCGGAGAGGGAAGAAGTTATGGCAATCTCGGCAACGCTTATCGCGGTCTAGGAGAGTTCAAAACAGCCATCAAGTACCATCAACGTCATCTAGAAATTGCTAAAGAAGTGGGAGACAAGGCCGGAGAGGGAAGAAGTTATGGCAATCTCGGCAACGCTTATCGCGGTCTAGGAGAGTTCAAAACAGCCATCAAGTACCATCAACGTGATCTAGAAATTGCTAAAGAAGTGGGAGACAAGGCCGGAGAGGGAGGAAGTTATTGCAATCTCGGCAACGCTTATGACAGTCTAGGAGAGTTCAAAACAGCCATCAAGTACCATCAACGTCATCTAGAAATTGCTAAAGAAGTGGGAAACAAGGCCGGAGAGGGAATCAGTTATGGCAATCTCGGCAACGCTTATCAAGGTCTAGGAGAGTTCAAAACAGCCATCAAGTACCATCAACGTGATCTAGAAATTGCTAAAGAAGTGGGAGACAAGGCCGGAGAGGGAGGAAGTTATGGCAATCTCGGCAACGCTTATCACGGTCTAGGAGAGTTCAAAACAGCCATCAAGTACCACGAGCGTCATCTAGAAATTGCTAAAGAAGTGGGAAACAAGGCCAGGGAGGGAGGAAGGTTATGGCAATCTCGGCAACGCTTATCACAGTCTAGGAGAGTTCAAAACAGCCATCAAGTACCATCAACGTCATCTAGAAATTGCTAAAGAAGTGGGAGACAAGGCCGGAGAGGGAAGAAGTTATGGCAATCTCGGCATCGCTTATCAAAGTCTAGGAGAGTTCAAAACAGCCATCAAGTACCATCAACGTCATCTAGAAATTGCTAAAGAAGTGGGAGACAAGGCCGGAGAGGGAAGAAGTTATGGCAATCTCGGCAACGCTTATCAATGTCTAGGAGAGTTCAAAACAGCCATCAAGTACCATCAACGTGATCTAGAAATTGCTGAAGAAGTGGGAGACAAGGCCGGAGAGGAAGGAAGTTATTGCAATCTCGGCAACGCTTATTACAGTCTAGGAGAGTTCAAAACAGCCATCAAGTACCATCAACGTCATCTAGAAATTGCTAAAGAAGTGGGAGACAAGGCCGGAGAGGGAAGAAGTTATGGCAATCTCGGCAACGCTTATCGCGGTCTAGGAGAGTTCAAAACAGCTATCAAGTACCATCAACGTCATCTAGAAATTGCTAAAGAAGTGGGAGACAAGGCCGGAGAGGGAAGAAGTTATGGCAATCTCGGCATCGCTTATTACAGTCTAGGAGAGTTTAAAACAGCCATCAAGTACCATCAACGTCATCTAGAAATTGCTAAAGAAGTGGGAGACAAGGCCGGAGAGGGAGGAAGTTATTGCAATCTCGGCAACGCTTATTACAGTCTAGGAGAGTTCAAAACAGCCATCAAGTACCATCAACGTCATCTAGAAATTGCTAAAGAAGTGGGAGACAAGGCCGGAGAGGGAAGAAGTTATGGCAATCTCGGCAACGCTTATCGCGGTCTAGGAGAGTTCAAAACAGCCATCAAGTACCATCAACGTGATCTAGAAATTGCTAAAGAAGTGGGAGACAAGGCCGGAGAGGGAAGAAGTTATGGCAATCTCGGCATCGCTTATGACAGTCTAGGAGAGTTCAAAACAGCCATCAAGTACCATCAACGTCATCTAGAAATTGCTAAAGAAGTGGGAGACAAGGCCGGAGAGGGAGGAAGTTATGGCAATCTCGGCAACGCTTATCGCGGTCTAGCAGAGTTCAAAACAGCTATCAAGTACCATCAACGTGATCTAGAAATTGCTAAAGAAGTGGGAGACAAGGCCGGAGAGGGAAGAAGTTATGGCAATCTCGGCAACGCTTATTACAGTCTTGGAGAGTTTAAAACAGCCATCAAGTACCATCAACGTCATCTAGAAATTGCTAAAGAAGTGGGAGACAAGGTCGGAGAGGGAGGAAGTTATGGCAGTCTTGGAAACGCTCATCACGGTCTACGACAGTTCAAAAAAGCAATCGATTGCCATCAACGTCATCTAGAAATTGCTAAAGAAGTGGGAGACAAGGCCAGTGAGGGAACATGTTATGGCAGTCTCGGCGACGCTTATGAAAGTCTACGACAATTAGAAACAGCAATCGAGTACCATCAACGTTATCTAGAAATTGCTAAAGAAGTGGGATGTAAGGCCCAAGAGGGAAGAAGTTATTGCCTACTCGGCAGGATTCATTTCCGTCAACGAGAGTTGAAAACAGCCATTGAGTGTTTTCAACGTCACCTAGAAATATCCAAAGAAGTAGGAGATAAGACTGGAGAGGCGTGCTCATTCTGTTCTCTTGGAAGAAGTTTTGAGTGCCAAGGAAATCTTTTGATGGCCTTTGACTGTTATTACTCGAGTGTAGAATTGTATAATGATATCAGGGCTAGTCTTCAACTCAACGATCAGTGGAAGATTTGTTATCGTAATCGGCACCAAAGTGCATACAAAGGTTTGTGGCTTATAATTCTCAATCGAGGTCAAGTTGTGAAGGCTCTTCTTGCCGCAGAGAAAGGACGTGCTCAAGCTCTGAGAGATCTCATGGACACAAAATATTCGCCTGGAGATTCTTTTACGCACAGCGCATCCCGCATTTCTTTGAGATGGGTTCCATTGACCACAGTTTTCATAGCTATTAATGGACCATGCGTTTACTTCTGGGTTTGCCTCAATGAAGATAATATCCAGATGATAAAGGTACACGTGAACAATTATAAATATGAGGATGAATTGAAAGTTTTCATCCAGCTACTGAACAAAACTGCTCTTAGGGAGATCGGTGCAAGAGATACTGTTACATTCGAAAATCCTCCGCTTGATTCGCCGTCAGAAGAGGAAATGGCCAGTGGTGGGATCCGAGTTGATGTGAGACACTCTCAATCAAGCGCTTTAAAGAAGCTGCATGACATCATCGTTTCTCCTATTGCTGACCTGATCAAAGGCAACGACGAGATCACATTCGTTCCTGAGGGGCCATTTTGCCTAGTACCTTATGCGGCATTGCAGGAATCGAACTCATCATATTTAAGTGATTCTTTCAGAATTCGTGTGCTTCCCTCTCTGACGACGTTGCAATTAATTCATGATTGTCCAGCTGACTTTCACATGAAGACTGGTGCATTGCTTGTCGGCGACCCATGTTTCAAAGATATCATCTATCAGGGAAGACGTTTGGTGCAACTTCCAGGAGCCAGGAAAGAGGTGGAGATGATCGGACGTATCCTCAATGTCTGTCCCCTCACTGGAGAAATTGCAACAAAACATGAAGTGTTGAAACGAATATCATCAGTGGCGTTAGTTCACATTGCAGCGCACGGTAAAATAGAAACTGGAGAAGTTATCCTGGCACCAAACACCACAACACAACACCCTCATCTGCAAGAGAAAGACTATCTACTGACGATGAAAGATGTTATTGATGCTGGGTTGCGAGCGCGTCTGGTTGTACTTAGCTGCTGTCACACTGCTCGTGGGGAGGTCATGGCTGAGGGTGTGGTCGGTATGGCGCGTGCACTTTTGGGTGCCGGTGCTAGATCTGTTGTGGTAACCTTGTGGGCGATTGGCGACGAGGGAACCCTGGAGTTCATGAGCTTTTTCTACGATGCACTTGCCAAAGGCAAGAAGGCAAGTGAAGCTCTCAATCAGGCCATGAAGCGCATGAGAGAAACTGAAAAGTTCAAGGAGGTGATTTACTGGGCACCATTTGTACTCATTGGTGATGACGTCAACCTGGATTTCAAGGATATTAGAAGCCGAAACAAGTAAATATTCTGTTTACACATTCTATTCAATACAAAGTTACCTTAATCATAATTATAGCTTATGTATGACCAGTGATACTTGCGTATTATTTTCCTTTCAGTTGGCTTACGAATTTAGTTTTTGCTCCGGCAAATTGAGATGCAGTACAATCAAGTGGACACGTTTACGATGATGACATTCTTGTTAGGAAACATGATAGGAGTAAAAAAGCAAATTTCTTTTAAAACAACGCTGTTGTGCAATGTATCGTTTCCGCATGTGCTAGGAAATATTTCATGGAAACTCAACCATCCTCCCTAAACTTAGCTTTTTTTATTCTTCAGTTAAGGCAGTGAGCATTGGAATCCCAGGGTGTTTTCGGATACCTGCAAACGCTGATATTTGGACCAGAAACCAGTAAGCTACTTATGAAATCTCTCTCAAGAGTCTTCTTTTGAAAGCAGGAAGAACCAAAAGACGGCCAAAGTCAAGTTTAACAAGAGAACGGATTTCCTTTGAGTCAAAAGTTGACTTTTTGCTTGTCTGAACTGCTCTTAAGAGCTTGATCTTTAATGTTCGGCTGAAACTACTGTTTTTTTTTCATATGATGTCTTGAAATTATCATGAGTAGCTATGTAAAAAGTTAATTTTTAATCTAAGTATTACTTACTAGGCGGATTTGGGCGTTGCATTGACGTCGAAGTTGAAACGTCTTGAAAACGTTTTCCAGAGTTTTTACAGACTTTTTCTCAATCGATTTCTTTCTCATGAGTGATGTAAAGCTGTTATAGCCATGTGCATGCGTGGAGAATTTCCATGGAAATTGGAGAATAACCAGTTGTCCGATTGCTCGATTATCCTATTTTATATCAGATGGAAATTGTGATTAACTTTTCGAGGATTTGTACCCTGTCATTGATACTTAAAGTTAGTTTCTGCTGATCAGAACTTAGTTTATCTGGACTTAAAATGACAGACTTTGGCCGTAATGGCCAGGATTTAGTCTTGGTATTAGTAAATTTTCAGAGATTTCTCCTTTAATTTTGAATGCGATAAATTGTGTTATTTTTTACAAGTAATTTTAAGTATATTGTGTAATCTAATCGTCCAAAGGCAAAACGAGAAGTTTTATTTTATAATTTTAGTTACTGGCTTACAAAGCATTGAAGGAAGCTCAGAACGAGCTGGAAAGTTGGAGCCAAATGATTTTATTTAGTTTCTCCAATTAGATTGTTTACTTATTATCTAAGTTCAATAAACTAATATTTAAATGTAAAACAATGAAACAAGTCGCTTGGCATTTTGTTAGAATGGAAGAGGAAATCAATAACAAAGGGAAGAAAATTTTTGCATCAACATGCATTGGCCATTTCTTGTCGTTTGAAGTAGTATTCCCATAACAACTTTTGCGCATTTCTTTGAATAGGTTTAAAGAATGAGAGATAAACTTCGATATTTTCTGATTCTACAAATTGTTGTTGAAAAGGCAAGAAAAAAGAAATTACCTTTCACTTTGGGAGATGGTGCTTTATTCTGTTTATAGAAAGCGTCCTCATCATGGGAGGTACCCTAGATCGGTGTGGTTCCCTGAGTGTAGAGAATATTTATGATATTTTTTTTCCACGATTGCAAACTTAACTAAAACAGCCTGTTAAAAAAAACCGAAACTTTCTTAAAACTGAGGGCCGACCGATAAGAACTTTTTACGACTAACGGTTAAAATTGTGGCCATTTTTCTGCTGCGGCTAACTCAGAATAACACTAAATAACACATTGCAGGAGGGAATTATTTTTAAATTTAATTTTTTTCAACAACAAAGGGTTCAAATTTGTCAATTTTTACGCCTAACAGCTAGTTTTTTGACCGATTTACGGCTAACGGTTAACCCCATGGAGACCCTCGACTGGGTGACATGCAAGATGTGAAATAAAAACGTTTTTAGCATTTGGAACTCGAATTTAGAGCGCTGGTTTATTAGGGGTAAGGAAAACCGGGAATAACAAGCTGTGGAAAAATCGTGGAGGTAAGGGTCAACCTGGGAGAAAGGCATGGGGAGAGCGTTGTCGCTACGCATTCCTGTTCTGTTCAATCTGAGATGCTTAATGAAGCTCACGCAAAAAAAAATATATTATATCTTACGAGATATTCACCGATGTCAGGGCAAGCAGGGACAAATTTTCCTCCCCTTGTTAGTACCTTGTACAGGATCCGAAAAGTCAGTAAGCCCTGATATTTTGACTCGAAAAATGCGACAACGTAAATGTTTCAGCAGAACATCTCTACTGACGATAGCATATATTACAATCATTTTAAAAAAAGAGCCATGGGAAGGGGGGAAGGGTGGGTCGAGGTTCCGTTTCTCCCTCCGGGTTGGGAGTGTAAACGGCTACGTGATTACAGAACAGATTCTCAAGAATCTCAGAGCTACGATTTCACAAGGTAAAGATAAGAATTTCTCTGAGTAATTGCTGGACTTAGGCTTCTTTCGTCTTCCTAGATTTTCCGCTAGTGCTTCATAACTCTACTCCATCTGACCACCCTACAGCGGTTTTTAGTATATACTACACAGGTGAATAGAGCTCTTCGCGTGGGCTAATTGGCTAATTCGGAATTAATATTCGAACCTGTATTAAGCGGTCGGTTGTCAAATTCCCGAATTTTTTCCTCTTATGCACTGTCACTTTCACCACTTTTCAGCAGTGGTCTCTATTAAGCGGTTGTGGTCATCCTTGACTGAATCCCATCGGCCTGTTCGGGTCGTATGGTACGGTTACTTAGGACGGAACCACTCGAATAAAACGACGAATTCTCTCTGAAGTATAATCTAATTTTGTGTTTGTCTCCCAAAATCAATGTTAGTATTTAGAGTTCAAATGTCCTCAACGCATTGCAAATTAACTTTCTTCTCAGGACTGTTTGTATCTTTCAAATATTTCACAAGAAAATTACGAAGATCATTTCCTTAGTAATTACGAAGAAGTCTAGCTATTAGAATTCTAATTAATCGTTCTATTTTTACGCTTCATCATCGTTTTGTTGATGTTATTCGATATATTTTTGAGCAATTTTTTAAAATAAGCTCCACAATAAAATAAATGATAAATTATGGTACAAAATGTTGTTTTCTCGTCTTTTGTTGTTAACCTTATTAAACGGTGATAACACTCAGTGCTAACACTCAGTTACGGGTTAAAAACGGTTGCTCGATTGTACCGTCTTCGTAAATTTGTGAAAGAGTGAAATGGTTAGTTATAAGGCAAAAAAGACGAGTTCCTTGATGTCATTACCCTCTGGAGCGTACGCCGGTATTTCCGCAAGTTCCCGCCGAGATTCCCACGGGACACCTGTCGGGATCTCTCTCGGGATGCCGGTGAGGAGATTTGTACCAGGTAGTCAGCGGGAATTCGGCCGCGATTCCCGCGCGGATAAAAACGGGCAAACAAAATTGAATGAAATCCGGTTTCGCCGGTAGTCCCACCAATCAAATATTTCACTCCCACTTAACTTTCCACTTCCGCTAATTTTTTTCCGAGAAAGATCAGAGGTCTTTACGATGTTAGAGTTCGCCAATTGTATATGAATATATTCGCACGTGTGAAAGAAATCGGCCTTCGCCAAAACACTCGTGTGGTTAATGCTCACAGCTGTCTGTCAACTACGTATTCTTTCTTGCCGCTGGTTCTTTGCTCCTCAGTTCCAAACCCACACCTTCCTTCCCAAGTCTTTCCCCTAATCACGGACCTCATTGAATCACAACATTATTTGGTATCGTGCGCCAATTTTTACTTTTCTTACTTTCATAATAGTTAAAGAAAAAAACAACAACAACAACAACAAAAAAACAAAAAACGTCTAAGCAAACCGCAATATTTATTCATTATTTTTCTCTTTTTTTTCCTTCCTATATACTTGGCTTTATTTTAGCCTAACGTAAACTGCTTGCTCTTTTTGCATACATTACTTTCCAATACTTGATAATACCTGATAATAAAAACCATCAAATTCAAATGTACCAAACAAAATTAATCAATATTTTGAATCCATTATCGTCTACAGAGAAATAGATTTCCCAAAACTTCATCTTAAATTTCAAATTTTACCATTTGCCTCTCCATGTTTGCCAGATAATATAATTCCCATTTCCGTAGCCAGCAATAAAAATCCACAATTTTAAATTGTTTTTCAATAAGTACTTCGTGTGCTTCCTTGCTCACTTCTCTACCACAGTCTACATGTTTAATACGTTTAGCCCATAATTTAGAGTAGCCTTCATTAGGGTGTTACATTTTGACTCAAAAAAATTTAAAATACATAAAAAAAACAACAACAACAACAGCAACACCCAGATACAGGCTGTATTATAGTGTGGTAACAAACGAGGGAGACCTTTACCACAAGCTATAGCAGATCTCCGCAAAAGTGACCCATAAAGAAAGAACAGTGTTCTTCTTTCTGAGTTAGTCTCAAAGTTCACTGGAACGTCAAAGTTGACGCTTCCAAGAGTCACAACAGATGCCGTGAAATGGCGGCCTTGGCGACGGTAATTGATAAAAGATGGGTTGGGTCGGAGAGTCACGTCCAGGAACCAGCGGTTGACAGCCTTTTGAGACATGCGCGGCTGACGGGGCTCCCGACTAAAGCCTGAAAGACAAAGAGAGAGGAACGGCAATATAAGCTGCGTTTGAGAGGTTTGGACGAGATCTGGAGGGACTTTGTCGAGTATTTCAAGTTAATTACCCTTCAAAAAATTAGTTCATGACAACAAAGGAATCATAGCAATAGAGAAAATAGGCCAAAAGAGAGAAATTTCTTTCGTACTTTGAGTAAGAAGGGAGACAAAATGTCTTTTTTTCCTTCACTGTTGTTTTGGAATGGCAACGAAAAGTCATTTAAAAAAAATATTACAAAGCTTCAGAGCGTCCTGCCTCAATGCCAAACCTACAATATACAGGCTCTGTCGGAGATCCGGCGACAAAATAGATGCCTTAAAACACGGTACTTGAAAACTAATTTTAACATTAAGAACGGATACTTAAGCACTTCAGACTCAAGGTGAAAAAAAGGTTACACATATAGGGATGTTTCTTTATCTCCTCATGAAAGGCTTAAAACTGTTCTATATCACCCAGAATGCAATCATCTCTTTAATGGTCGGCTTGAAAAGTAACTGTCAGTGAGATACGTTTTAGTTCCTCAAAAAACTGTGCAAAGTGGCAAAAAAGAAAGGCTAACTTTCAGTATTCCCGTGTGACCACAGAATGGATATGAAATGAATAGTAACCAACCGAACATAACTCGTATCGTAAGTTTCTTCCCAATAGTATCCATTTTTATCAAATCTAACTTGGGGAATGGGGTACGTTTTCTGCCAAATTTTCCACGATTTCACACTAATAACGACGCTTAACAAAAGAAAATTATGTATTTCTTGCCCTCCGTGAAAAGATCATTTCTAGTGTTCTGATTGGTTGCTGAGTGCCGGTTGCCAGTGCATAAACA